TCTTCCTCTCTCATTATATAAAAATATTTCTTTTTTATATCACTTTTAACTTAAACTTTTACCACGAAATTATTTAACTTAAACAAGTTCATCCGAAATTCAGATTTAAATTTTATATATTCCGGGAAAATTATAAAATTATATACTACCGCATAAAAGTTTCAGCACACTCTCCATTTAAATTTATTATATACTTTAACTAAAATTAGAAAAAGAGAACTGATTTCTCTTCAATTCAAGCTTAATTTCCTTTTAATAACAGAAAGCAGACTTGATATTTTGTGATTAATAAATTTTTCAAATATCTTAATTAAAGATTTATGTTTAATCTAGCACTTAATTTCTATGAGACTACGTGTATTGTTTCTATTTTCTCATTGTAAATCATCACGATATTCAAATGTTTTGTCAATGTTTAACGCAAAATTTGAAATTGATATTTTTTTTCGATATACATGATATTCATCTACTTGAGAAAACCTACAATTTCCATTTAAATTCCGTTATAATTATTTTTCGGCAATTCGCCACTTTTGAATACTTTCATGAACGATTATATTATAATTTTATATTTTATACATGAAAAATGAAATTGTTAAAGCAATAACAGAATAACATAAGACGTGTTGAAACTTTTGAGCGGTTGTGTATATTGAAAGGCTTTAAAGCATACACAAAAATTAATCATTTTTGTTTTCTATGATACATAAAATATATTAGTTTTATCTTTAATTAGAAATATTTTTATCTTTCTATATATAGATTTCGAACAAATTTCATCATACCTATATTTAATGAAAATGTTTTTCTTATGCTTACATAAAAGAGCAATAGACCATTAATAACGTGAAAAAGTATGGATATGCAACGATTTTTGTCGATCTTTCGTTTAAATTAATCACGTCTGTATATTGCGTCGCTCTGCGGCGCACTGATAGTACTAAAAATCTTATTATCAGTATTTGGTAGTCCCGGGGAAAAACAGCGGGGAAAAACTATAATTATAAAAATTTCATATCCAGGCATTAATAATTTCCCAACGATTGTGAACAAGGAAAATAGTTTCATAAATTGAGTTTTAGGAAAACGAACAAATATTAAAATTATATTTTTTTTATTGATATATCAATTTAAACTCTAATGTAAAATTTAATTATAAAAATATGTAATGTTGATTTTTAGAAGTTTACTCTCTATTTTCTCGAAAGAAAAATAACTTATAGAAACAGTTATCAAAATTAAAATCAAGTTATGGATAATATCTCTAACATATAAATCTTAGAAAGTAAAGAAGAACTTAATAGGTACTGAACGTAAACATATTCAATTTATTTCAATATTGCGCATATTAATATTATTGGAAAGTGTATATGTTATTACATAATGCTGGGAATGAATCACATTATTTTTATAATAGAGAATAAGTTCATAATAATAGATAATAAATAAGCGTGTGTAAATGCGATAACGATTCACCTCGAACTCCATTCTGTAACGTTTATCTAATCATAGCTTTGTAAGCAGATCAATATATTTTGCAAAGATCGCTTCAATTTATTATTAAATTGAATTATTCATAGGTCTTTCTGTAATGCATTAAAAACGCAATTATCAAATTGATCTGTTAACTCTCGCATGAGTTGTTTTTATCACATTTTACTCGTAATTATAACGGTAGATAATAATATAATAATTCAAGAAATTGTTATATATTATATATTTTTTTATATTATATTATATGTCTTTATATATTACATATATTTATATATTAATTACACGTACAAAAAAAACCTTAGATGCAATTTCTTGGAGAAATGTAAGAAAGAAAAATAATGTTTCAAATAGAAATGTTTAAATACTCTTATTAATTAAGAGTTAAAATACTCTTATTAATTCATTCCTCAGACACTTAATATATTTAAAATATTTACATATTTTATACCGTAAAGTTCCTCTTCTATTGGTAAACCATGCGTAAAAAACTTGAATAATAGGATGATAAGAATTGAGAAAGACAAACTGTAGCCCATTTTCATCACACGATGATTTATAACGTTGTACACTTGACTTGGCTAAAAAAAGTTCACATATATATGTTACATTTATATTTTACATACATTTATATTTTATTTCAAAGAAAAATTTAGTTATAACTTTTAAATTTAGATTTTAGAAATTTAATTATAACACATATATATACATATATATGTGTATGTATATATATATATATATGTATGAATATATAATTTATATTTTTAAATAGTGACATTTCCTATTTTATACGATGTTATTGAGACGTAGATTTATAAAAATGTAACAATTAAAAAATTTGCTAATTAATTTAGAAAATAAAAAGAAAAATAATTCGAAAATGTAACTATAAATACATATTTAAAGTTTCAAATTTAATTACAAACTTTATATATATTTTTGACAATAATAAATAATTAATCGATTCTTACGGAAGAAATTTTTTAACTTGTATCTTGCAAATCAAAATTGGTTCACTCTCCAAATAGATCACTTATTTTTAAAGATATTCGAAAAAATATTTTCTTCTTGAAGCATCGATTAATAATACAAGTAAAAAAGGCACTTACAACACGTTGCCCGCAGCTCGAGGCTCGAGGCTGCTCGAGACTCGACTGGATTCGACACTCGACTCGACACTCGACTGACGACTACTGACGACTGACGCCACGCGACGCGAATGTGATCCGGTATAGTCATCACAGAAATGGGGTAGAAATGACGTAGAAACACTGACGCCCGTATGGCAGCTTTGATCATTATCGTATATTGCGCGCAACGCGCTGTATAAATCACGTAATGTTCCGCGAATGTCGCGCATGTGGTTTGCCCGATTCGTAATTATTTCGCTGTTCCGTACATTGTATGTATATATATGTACGTACATGCATGTACGTACAGTGTTACGCATATATCAAGTGCATGCACTCGATCGAGCTTATTCTCCTGTAATTTGAAACATCGGAGTAGAATTTCAAATTACTCAGCGTGTTTAAAAACGATCTTATATAAATTAAAATTGTATCTTCTTTCTTGAAGAGGTTATACTTGTAAAATAAAATACATCTTAAATACATTAAGGAATATTATTTTTCATTTTTTAATTCTTTATTTATATCATTCATTAGCTATTGTATATAATTCGATAAAGAAAATAAAAACAAATGCCGCGTTTAGAAGAACGTTTGTATTGCAACTGTTAGAAGTTTTCTCTTCACTGACTAGATTATAGATCTAAAATTTTAGATCTAAAAGTATAATCCAATTAGCGCGAAAAAAACTTACAACAATTGCAAAACATTCTACTGAACGTAGCCAATGTACAAATTAATATTTATTTTTGTAAAAGAAAAATTGAAAAAAATATTACAATGAAATAATTGAACTTTTTCG